AGATAAGGAAGCTCACAAAGATGCCCAGCCCCAGACCTGTGGGCCCTCCGGGCTGCCCTCCAGTGGCCTCGGTCCTCTGCCCTAGCCTTGGCGACTCACTGAGGGGCTCTTAATCCAGCCGCACTAGCTGTGCCTCAAGGGTCCTTCCCAGCCATCTGCCTGCCCACTGTACCCTGTCTTCAGAAACTACTGGGAAGCCACCTCCTCTGTGAAGCCCACTCCACTCACGGCCTTTCATGTGCCTGACAGTCCGTCTATACCTGGGCTCCTCCAGGTGGAATACATGCCCAAAGCAGGCCACCCCACGTGACTCGTGCACACGGGTGCCACCCACACTCATGACTCCCTGCAACACGCACACCGGGTCCATGGATTGGAGGGCCCTTGCCCGCCCCTGCAGCCTCAGGCCAGGTTTCACAGGCAGCCCCAGTCGGCAGCAGGGGTCACCTGTGCCTTTTAGCCAGCGAGCCAGACCGGGAAGGCCCAACGTCTGCGTCTTGTCCATCCGTCAGTGGCTCCATTGCAGCCGTGGCTTTGCGCCACCGCCTCTGGCAGGCGCCTGGCTTTCAGGCACTTCTGGGTCATTCAGTGAGTCGGGGCAGTCCTGGCCCCTTCTGGGCATGCTGAAACTTATGGCCCTTTGGTGTTTTTACTGTACATTTGCTCAAGTGAAGCCCACAGACTTGTCCGGTGCCTGCTGCATCCACAGGGCTCCACCCAGGTGCTGCACCAGCGAGACCTTCCCGGGCCTGGCTCCCAAGAGACAGTCCTGGGCCCTTCCTCATCCAGTGTCTGCCACTGCATGGCATGCGTGGACTTGTGTCCCCTCGAGCCTTCTGTCCTGGCGGTCTCTGACACACTGCCCCTCAGGGGCCTCCGCGTCTGCTGGGAGGACCAAGGGGGAATGACTGGAGGATGGGAGGGTGGGTGGAGGCTGGGTAAGCAGTATATCACGTGTCACCTGAGCAGAATGCTCGTCCCTGACCAGCCACACCCACCCTCGCCTTTGCAGCTGTAGCCGAGATGGTCTTCCAGGGCCTGGAGGGACCCTGTCTCCAGTGGCTCATGTCCTTAGATACCCCTGCCCTGCCTAGTCTTGTGCCACAGTGAACGTCACCCCTTACAGTATGACAGGGGCACCTGCTGTCTCTCTCGCGCTTGTGTGAGGGCTCTGTGAGTACCAGCTTCTTGCCTTTTTTCTGGTACCACGTCCTCAGGGCCTGAGACAAGAATTGTGGGACAGGCGGATGCGTGGATGGTGGGTGGTAGAGGCAGAGGTGTGGACTGGGGGTGGTGGAGGCGTGGTCAGTGAGTGACGGAGGGGTGGAAGGTGAGTGGCGGAGGTGCGGTGGGTGGTGGTGGGAGCCTGTGGCCCGGGACCACGTCACTCTGGCCACGGCCCCACAGCTGCAGCGCCCCAGGCTTGCCTGACTGGTGTCTGCCTCGCCCCCCTTTCACCTAAGTCTCCTCCCAGGGCAAAGCCCTGCACGCCCAGCCTGGGGTTTTTCACTCTTTGGGGCTGACATCCTGGGCTCTTGTACTGCGGGTCTGCCCCTCATCCCTCGGAAGTACCCGCTACCAGGTCAACAGGTGTCGGCCTCCGCTGGACCCAGAACAGGCTGATTTTGTATCAGGTGTTTCGCAACCTGAGCCTTATCCCCTTGTGTTTGGTGCCATGTCCCACACTAGTCCTGAGTGCAGAACAGGAGTGTGTGTGTGCATGTACGTGCACACTTGCCTCCCATGGTCTCACCAGCACCGCCTGTGGAAGGAGTGTCATCATCCCCCTTCCTGGAGTGGCTCCTGTGTCGAACCTACTTGCCTCCCGGCCAACTCAGGAAAGCGGCAGGACATAACACAGAGCCCCTGGCGGCTGTCTCAGAGCTCAAGGGAGGTTCTCCTGCTGGGCCAAGGAGAGCCATGAGGCCTGGTGGTCCAGGGGTGCCAAAGCAATGCCCTTCTCAGAGGGGTACCCCAGAAAACCTGCTGGGAGCCCAAGGCTAGGCTGGTTCCCTCATCCGGGGGCTACCTAGACCAACGTCCACATGGGCTCTTAAAGCTCAGAGCTGGAAGCTAAGCTGAGCTTCAGTGACTACTGAGGCCTATGAGCGGCCTCAGGGCGGCCCATCTCTGCTCAGGGGTTCTGTCACCTCTTGGGCCGGTCCACCAGGGCTGGCTCCACTCCCTATCAGGTTCCTTGTCAGTCACTCCTGTCACAGGGAACAAGCTAGTACATGCCTCCTGTCCAGCCCTGTCTCGCTGGTAATGTTTTAGGCCAGCTGTTTCCTCAGGAGTAAATGACAGTGACACTGAGACAGTTACTAATCTTCCTGGGTGGTGGTAGACTTGATACTGAGATAGTCCCTGCGCTTCCTACGGTGGTAGTGATGATGGTGACACCAAGACAGTCCCTGAACTTTTTGTGTTGGTGGTGGTGACGATGACACTGAGCCAGTCCCCAAGCTTCCTGTGTCAGTGGTGACAGTGACGCTGGAGCAGTCCCTGAACTTCCTGTGCTGGTGGCGATGATGACACCGTGATAGTCCCTGAGCTTCCTGTAATGGTGATGGTGACGGTGACACCAAGACCGCCGCCGAGCTTCCTTGCTCCAGGCTTTAGTCTCTGTCCTTCACTTATTCGTGGACTCACGTAACCCTCGCTGGGATTCTCCAAGGCTGATGCTGTGGTTATCTCCATTGTGCAGATGTGGAAACCCTCAGTCCCACAGCCCCCGAGAGGAAGAGCCAGGGTGTGACAGGCTCCAGGCTTCTCGCCACTGGCAGTGCACATGCAGACACCGAGATGAGCTGTTCTGGGTGGCGCAGACACGGGACAGCATGGTGGCTTCACGTGGGACCCTCAACAGCCTGGCATTGGCCATGCTGAGTCCTGAGGGCAAGTCAGTCCCCCATAGCTACAGTCTTTGATGGAGGAGGCTGGATGTGGGTCAGAGTCCGAGCTCTGAGGCTAGCCGGGGAGGCTGGCACCTCCGGGCACGTGTCAGGCCTGGCGCCGGTGGCTTCCTCTGCCCGGCCTCAGAGCGAGCTCCCACGCAGGCCCCAGCAGAGAGAGCGTGGCTTCCTGTCCTTTGTCTGCAGGGGCACACCCAGCGTTCCTGGAGTGACCTGGGAGTGGGGGCAGGAGAGGAGACTCGGTGGTTTCCTCATTTGTGTTTCGTGTTAAAGAAAACAAGCAACATCCTCGAGAAGCCATTGAACAAGGCGCCTCCAGGGCCCCAGAGGCCCATTGTGGGCCGGAGGCTGGCCCATTCATGCCTCTCGGCCAATTGTGGAGGCTGGAAGTGGCAGGAGGGACTCTTGTCAAAGTGCAGCTTCAGAGTGTTGGCCAAGAGGTCATAACTCCAAGGTCCCTGTGTGCTCCCATGAGCCTCTGGGAAGTGCCTACCTGGACAGTCCCAGCACAACCCAACTGAGCCCCGTAGGACAGGCCAGTGTGGCCTCTGCGGGAGCCCAGATGTGGAGGCCTGCAGGGCCTACCTCAGGGGCCAGGGCCACCAGCTGCAGAGCCCAACTCCCCGCAGGTCTCGCTGTGCCTCGGTCTCCCGGCCTCCCAGTGGAGGTTGGGTCAAGTGGACCCTCCTGGCTGCTCTCCAGCCGACCAGGCCCCAGGCCCCTCTCGTCCTGCATGTGCCCCAGCCCCTGTGGGTGTATGTGGGCCACACTCAGGCTGCGGACTCTGAGTCAGCATCTGGACCTCGGTGTCCCAGGGGCCTGGGCCCAGGGGCCTTTCCCCACCCAGGCTGCCTGTCACCGAGGGCGTGTGTGGGGGCTCTCTGCCATGCCCCCCAGAGCGCACTTGCCCACCAGGAAGTGCGAGAGAGGGTGTGGTAACAAGAGGGTGGCCCTCAGCTTGGTGTCTTCGGTGACTCCTCCTGGTGTCCCGGGATTTACCCATGTTCCAAGAATGTCTCTCCCCAGCCTCAGTGGAAACATGTGCGTGGTCGCTGCCATGACGCCAAGACACAAGAGACATCCTTAGGGTCTCCAGGGCCCCGTACATTGTCGAAGGCTCTGAGCTCGTGGTCCATGTCCTGCACGCTCCAGGCAAGCTGTGTTAGGAAGCAGGGTCCTGGCGAAGGTGGCCCGGGTGCCAGGTGGGGTTAGGAGACAGGCTTTCTCTGCAGGCTCAGGCTTTGCAGGCAGCACCTCCCAGATCTTCACAGCAGCCCAGAGAAGACGGGAGTGACACGCCCCGTGTCTGGAGACTGGAGCTGCAGCCTGTTCTGGATCTGCAGCTGGGAGCCCTGATCTGTTGTCCACTCCCTGCAGGACCCCAGACGGGCCCATCCAGCTTCTGACTGACTCAAGGGCTTGGACGTGATGGCCTCTGAGGTTCCCCATCCCTCCGGTTCTTTGTTCCCATAACTGCAGCGACACCGCTGGGTGGGAGATCCGTTAACTCCAGCGTGTCCCTTTTTCAGTCTGGATTTGATGACCAGTCTGTTCGCTCCAGACTCCTGGCTCCCCCTGCCTCCAACGTTGTCACAGCCCATGCAGGCCCAGGACCAGCTTACCTCCAGAAGTGACTAATGGCCCCCCTTCCCCTCTCTCAACACAGGGCTACCACCCACTGCCCCACGAGGCGGAGATCGCGCACACCAAGAAGCTGTTCCGGAGGCGGAGGAACGACCGCAGGTAGGGAGACCGCGTGGCTCGGCCGCTGGCCCTGTGTGGCCATGCGCAGCGCCCCCGGCCCTGCCTGTCTTTCCCGCCACCCACTGACACCTTCGAGGTGGGGTGGGTAGGCGTGGGTTGGCTCCTGGGTGGGGGTTCCCATCCAGGCGGCAGTGGCTCTCCCCTCGCTGTCACGGGGACGGGCTGACTGCGGGAGTCCAGCTGAGGCTGCATCCTGCTGGGGCCCTGGGGCGGGGGGACACAGGCCTTGCCCTATGGGAGAGACGCTCTTTCCACGGCCCCAGAGCGGCCGTGCAGGCCTCAGGTACCCCTCGCTGGATGCGTGCTTTGAGACGGGGTCCCTAGGAGGCTCCAGCGCCCCTAGGTCACAGGTGTCTCCTGCGCTGCAGCAGGGACCAGGCAGGGCCAGCGAGGTGGCCTCGAGTGGAGACGGGCCCCCAAGATGGGCACTCCAGGAACGCGTAGTCTTATGTTCAGAAAGACCTGCTTTTAAGGAAAGGTGTCACGAGGTAGTTCAAGTGAAGAATCCAGGGGCAGAGCATTGGTCGCTGTGCGTGGTCACCTGCGTGAAGGGGGTTAGGCTTGTTTTTTCTTTAATGTGCAGAAATTTATTCTGGATGGAAATACAGAAAAAATAAAAAACCAAAATGCTGGGCCTGAGAAATTAAAGTGGGGTGTTCCTCTATGGGAAATTTCTTCTTAGAAGCAATGCTGTGCTCTAATGAGCAGAGAACATTCTTGGAGCCCAGAGCAGCCGATGACATCTCTTGCTGGAAACTCAGAGATGCCTGCCCTTACCTGGCAGCCACCTTCGTGCACACGGCCACCGTGTCTCTGATCCCTCCCTCCACACGTAACTCTGAGCGAGGTCTGAGGTGGTAGCCATGCTCCTGGGGTGGATATGGGCCTGGTGCTGGATGTCTGTTGTCCCCAGTCGACGGCAGGTGCCTGGCTGGCTGGAGAAGGGCAGGCTGGCTTAGGAATCAGAGCCGTCGGGGAAACTGAGCCAGAGAATTGACCAGGCCATGTCCTGCTTGGGCCAAGGCGCGGCTCACAGTGTCATGGGTGCCAGCTGGGCGAGGTGGCTCCTGTCTTCTGGGTTCCTGCCGGAGGGAGGAAGTAGGGAGCATGCCTCCAGGAGAAATGGGTTTCTGTGGGTTGGGAAGGTGCTGGGGAGAGGTGTCCCTCCTCCCATGGCCCTGTGGTCCTGGATGGCAGGGAAGACCCAGAACGCGTCTCAGAGGGGTGTGTCCCCACGCTTCCCATGAGAAGCCATTCTCTGAGCTGCCATCGCAGCCTGAGCGGTAGTGTTCACCCCACATGTCCACCTCTGGGCCGGGCTGCCCCCCAGACAGCAGGAGGCTGCGGTATGACCCGGGGATGCAGGAGGGGCCACGGCCAGAGGACAGGAGGCTGAGCTTCTGCAGAGCTGTAAGGGCGGTGACGGGCGCCCAGGTGGGTTGGCCCCCCTGGTAGAAGATGATGAGCCGGTCCAGAGCAAGGCGCAGATGATGGCAGAGTGGGTGGCGTGTCCTGTGAGGGGGCGGGGCCGGAAGGGAGGCTGAGGGAGGGAAGGACTTGTATGGAGAGGTGAGGGTGGCTACCCAGCATCTGTGGGACCCAGCCTGGAGGAGGCCGAGGGCCAGTGCTGCGACTCAGGGCAGCCATGGGTTCAGGGCAAGCCCCTTGAAGCACCCCTTCAATCTGGTGTTAGAGATGAGGTCTTGCTCGGCCATGGGGAGCTCCAGTGATGCTCCTGCTGTAGCCTCTGGAGTAACTGGGACCACAGGCGTGAGCCGCTGTGCCTGGCCACCCTTCAGTCTTCATGTCTGTGGGTTCCTAGACATGTCCAGCCAGGAACCCTTTCAAAGGGCACAGTGGTCCGATCCTGGCCACATGGATCTGTGTGAGCCTGTGCTAGCCATTCGTGGTCACCCGTTTTCTTCCAAACCACCAGTGTGGGAGTCTCTTTGGGAAAGATGAAGCCTGTGTCTGTCCAACTTTTGTCAACTGCGCCATGTACACCTGGCTGCTGCCTCCAGCACTTCTGCCGCCTTGGCCAGGCCATGGTCTGGCTCCTCCCAGAGCATACTCCTGGCTCTGTGTCCGCAGATGTGCCTGCGTGCTGAAGCCGCATAAGCCAGAAGCAGCCCGTGGCATTGTGTGGTGGTCACGTGTGTGGGTGTGAAGGACTCACAAGGCCCAGCTGTGGGGTCCCGGCCAAGGTAGAGCAAGGTGACGCCCTGCCAACAGGCGACCCCTGGTCTGTTTAGGGCCATGTTGTTCACTTCTTGAGCTTTCTGCCAGCAACCTCGCTGTCTGGAAGGGCCCCAGCATCACCACCTGGGACATTGTCGCCTACCGTTCCCAAGCGTGGGGAGGCCGCGCGGTGGAGGAAACGCATGTCCTGTGAGTGTCACCTAGGGAGCTCAGCATTCACAGGCCAGCCATACTCAGCAGGGTCTCTATGTGGAAGCCCACATGTGGTTGGTCTGTGTGGACGGTGTGTTCACAGTGCACAGCAGTCTGCAGAACGTGACAGCCATGTGCCATGAGCCCCTGCGCTTGCTCCTGGACATGGGGAGGCGCGGAGGTGGGGGGACATGGGAGGTGTCAGGCCGAGTGTTCGGTCGTGTCCATGCGGGCGTCGCAGAGCTGGGTGTGGGTCCGTGCCCTGCCACGATGGTCGCCGTCCCTGGCTCCCTGAGCGACCATGGTCTCATTTGCCCCATCCTGCAGTGACGCCGTCCCCGGGACCCTCACACAGCCCAGTCCTGAGGGGCTGTCACTGCCGTTCTATCGCCAGAGCCTGTGAGACAGAGCTGCACCCAAGATGCAGGAGGAACTTGCCTCATTAAAGATAGACAAAGAAGGAACTTGCCTGCTAAAGATAGACAAAATGGGACGGGCAGCCCCCCAGCGGGCAGCCCTGTCAGGTTCTGGCAAATGAGTCAGATGGGAGCCATTTTTAGTACCCACCCCCGCACGCCCACTTGGGCCGGCATCTTGGGGTGGGGAGGGCTGGCCCCCTCTGCCCCACGTCCAGGTTCATGCCTCCTAGAGGGACCCCGAGGCACCAGGGGACCCTGGGTCCTACAGATGGTCACGACACTGCCAAGGCCACCCTGGCTTGACCGTGGGCAACACACCTGCCCTGGACCTCCAAGCTCAGGGCTCCCCCCTCGCATCACACTCGTGGGAATACCAGGCCCTGGGGCCCTCCCCCACTGGGCTCCATGTCTCCTGGGGGCCACGGGCACAAGATATGGCCTGCAGTTGGCAGAGCCCGTGTGCCTGTTTTGGCCCTGCCCCCAGGTCCCCTGCGTGCCCCTGCCACTCAGCAGCCTATGCCCGTCATGCAGGGAGCTGTGGGGGAGGTTTTATCTGTCCCTCCTTCCACGAGAAGTCGGCTGGTTCCATGGCTTGGCCGGGAGTGGGCTAGGGAAGCCCCCGCGCGTGGCCCACAGTGTCCACTCCAAGGCCATGGAGACCATTGTGTCCAGGGGCCCCATTTGACAGCAAGAGCTGCACGCGCCCTGGGTCGGAGGCATGTTCCGTGGGTGGATCCGGACTGTGGCCTGGACCTCCTGTGTCCGACAGGCCCCGCTCTGTCACCACGAGGCAGGAGCACGCAACGTTTGGGATGGGACGAGCCGTCCCTACAGACCGCGACTTGTGGGATTCCCGGGGTGTTTGCCCCTCGCCAGGGCGGTGGTCCTGGCTAGAAGGCAGAACTGAGCCTCCTTGGGGCAGAAATTTGAGAAACAAAAACGCATCCAAATGAAGACAGGCCATCCCTAAAATCCAAAAGGAGAAAGAAATGAACCGTATTCGTATTGACTAAAGAAAGCAAGGCGGAGAAGTCATGCCTCAAGACCACGGGTGGGGGGTTGACCAGAGGACCCAGCTAGCGGCTTCTCGCAGGACGGGGGCCACAGGCGCCAGTGGCCTGAACCCCGGCCTCTGCAGTTCTGCCCTGGAGCCACGCTAAATGTTCACGTGATTAGAGACAAAACTTAACCGGCTGTGGAGACACACCTCTCGCTGCACCCGAGAGAGTGGGCCCCTGTGAGCCTAGGTGGAGATTTCCTCTGGGCTCGGACCCGGGCCCCCGCCTCCTTGCCATCCTGCCCGGGTGTTGAGCACACGCCCCAGAGCCGCGTCTCCAAGTCAAGCTTCTCACTGCCCGCTCCCGCCCCACCCGCCTCCCCTCTCCGGACACAGCGCTTTCCTTCCCGCGTGACTGTGCTGCGGGCCACACGGGCGCCCTTGACCTCGGCCCAAGTTCCACTCACTGGGGAACCTGCTGGTTCCTGCTGGTCCCCCTTCAGGGCAGATCTGGATTCCCCAGCCTTTACATGCCAAGACCTTGCTGGGGCCCGTCCTGGAACCTCACTGCTCCCTTTTAAAAGGCGTTTCTTCACTCACAACCCTCCAGTGGGCCCCGTTGCCTGTAGAATTAGGGCCCCATCCTGCCAGGGCCTGCGGGGCCCAGATGATCTGGCCCCATCGCTTCTGACCTCATCATCTGCCTCCCCTCACTCTCTGCCTCCAGCCTCCCTGCCTCCTCGGGGTCTGGACACCAGTGACTCCACCTCAGGGCCTTTGCACATGCTGCTCCCAGCACCTAACGTGCACCTCTCCCAGATGCTCATGTGGCTGCCTTCCCTGCCCTCATGCCTTTGCATTGTGTCCCCTTCCCAGGACTCCTGTCTTGACCATGCAGTCTACCGGAATGCCCCCAGGTGCCAGCCTTCCAGTCTTTCACCCTCTCCCACGCCTCTGCTCCCGCGTGCCGTCGTCCACACAGGGGTGTGTTTATCGCCCGCATCTCCCACTGGGTGATGGCTCCACGGGGCAGGGCTGCTGTGAGCGTGGCCCCAGTCATGTCCCCCAGTTCGAGCGCACAGCTGGCATGGGGCAGGTGCCCGGAGAACAGTTGCTAGGGAAGCAGACAAGCGGACCAGGGGCAGCCCTGAAATTCAAAAGGCTGTCCAGTC